AGGCTGCGTTCAACCCTTTAAATATAACACGTTTTTCCATGATTCAGCGCACATTTGTGGCGCTTCCAATGAAGACTCAAATTGTTGTTTTACAATTGTCTTTTGACTTGAGTTCTTGGGAAACGTTTAATGACAGACACAACAGAGGATTTAGCGAGAAAAACGCAACGAACACGTCTCATAGAAGTGTCTAAAGACAACTATCAAGTAGTAAAGGGAAGCCACAGCATTCAGGGTGGATCTGTTCTTCTTGTATGCGAATTGATACTGGTAGTCTGGGACTGTGATCGAAAATCATAACTGGGTAAGGGCTATCCTATCTGTTAACTTGAGTCTAGAAGAAGTCAGCTTTGAGCCCTAAGACGCTTATAAAAGGCCGTGTAACTAGGAATAACAGTGACGGATTGTCATGACATAGGAATAGCACCGGCCTCCAAATGTGGTGATTAATATTGTCAGCGTTTGTGTAATCGACTCGGCTCCTTATTTCTGGAGGGTAGACGGGGGACGATTAGGACCCACAGCGGCTATATATATATATTTTTGAAAATCCGGAAATCTTCAGACAAACCGGATTGTTCCTGTCAAGCTCCAGCTTCTCGCACAAGAAACGACACAGCTTTACATGGGAACCACTAACCCCATTCACAGCGCTGGAAACAAATCGACCACACCGCCATCAGTTACCGTTGGAGGGGGTCGATTCAAGACTGCCGTTCTTACTGGTCAACATCTGTGGTTACAGGCCACGCCTTGTTAACAGTCGGATTCTCCCTACGCCTGAAAACAACCGCAAAAAAGCCATCGATAACGGATATCCACGTTACATTGTCCGCGATTGTTGCAAATCGGCCTTCGAAGCGGAACTCTTCGATCACCTGTCAGTTCAAACACCAGCCGAAGGACTCAATAAACACTGGAAGCAAATCAAGGAAGTTAAGTAAATATCGATAAAAACAAGGTCGAATCCTGGCACAGGTTCAAAACACAAACGATGGATCTCACTGACCTCGGCTGCCGTACTCGACGCTCGCAGAACCCTCCCTCCTGATGCCACGAATGAAACAGCGCGCAAATCCCTCAAACACCAGCTCATCAAGAGTCTGAGGAATGAACGTGAGAAGTGGTGGATAGGAAAATGTAAATAGATGGAGAAGGCTGCGGCCATTGGTACCAGTCGCAATCTTTTCCGTCCAATTAGGAATGCAGTCCCAGGAAAATGGGCGTAAGTGATGCAATTAAAGAATCCGATGGCACACTGATTCTCCATCAGCAACACCGTCTTGATCGATGGGATGAATATTTCGAGGCTCAGTTCAACTGGCCCCCATCGATCTGACCTATCACCCCCACCTCGACTGGACAAATACTCCCAGTTCGTGCTAGTCCTTCATCTGAAATGATGTTTTCTCGGGAAACAAGTTATCTCAAAAAGGCATAAGGCCTCTGATCCAGATGGGCTATCCACATCGGCGTTTGAGGATGGAGGCATTAGTTTAACCAAGATCATATCTAAACTTCTCGCTGGTTTTATACTTCGTTGCTTGTCTATTCGAGATTGTATCGACCACATCTTCACTCGGTCAAATTCTGGAGCACTGACATTTTTTCGTAGACCCACTAGCTCTGTCTTTCTCGATTTGAAAGTGGCTTTCTACTCAGTCGACCGCTCCAGACTCTGGCACTGCCTTCTCTGAAGGGTGTTCCTGAGAAGTTGATTCCAATATTACGAGCGCTTTATACTAATAGCCGAAGTCGATTCCGAGCTTATGGCACTTTCTCGTCCGAGTTGACCATAGAAGGTGGAATTCGACAGGGTTGTCATCTCTCTACATTTCTGTTTAACTTGGATCAGGATTATCACATCTAGGCTGCGTACGTTAAAAACGCCAACAGCTCACTTCCCTGCCAGAGCATCATTGCGATTAGTCCTCCTAAAATAGCTGGGCCAAGCGCTGATCAAGTGTTTGATCTCCTGTTTGATAAGGATTGAACTAGACTGGACTGGCTGGATTTGGAGAGCTTTTCCTTTCGTTCGTTCAGTGAGTTTTGCAGCAGAGAGGCCAATCTACCATCGTGAGTTGTCACATAGTTGAGGTGGATCCCATTTATAACAAGAATTTGTGTTAGGAAACTTTATCGTTTTCTTACTTAGAGGTCCATTAAACCACTGTATTATTCTCTTCCTGTAAACTTGGTTCTTGTTGTACCATGAGTTTGACACTTATGGTTGTGCGAGTGATGTTGTCTTTGAAAGTCTGTTTCGATGTCCCGTACGAGGCTTTGCCCAATATAGTCAAGGCAGTTTCCCCACAATATTTTCGGTCGTTGCAATCTCGTTTCTTAAAATAATTATTGAGTTTATGCTACTGTCCATTGTCTTTTGAACCAAAAGTGACATTCCTTATTTTACTTGTCCTCATTATCACCCCGCTCTGCTCTAAATAAATTTAGTGATCGTTTAAAAACGACTGGAATTTGACTGAACAGATATATTTTATATAACGACGTTAATCAACGCTAATTTAGACTGCAAGTGGACGTTGTTTATGCTTGAGCACTTTCTGGCAATACGATCTTTGCACGACAAGTAAACATCACACAGCTTTCCCGTCTCCATCCATATAAATGCATATTTCGTTCTTCAACTCATACGCTTCGAATAATCTCGTTTACAGTCCCCCACGATTGTCCGACCCGGATACAGGCGCGCGTGTGGCTTTACTCAATAAACCGTTACCACCAGTTCCCGGCGAAAATAAACCACCTGAAAATGCACAGAATGCTTCAACTTGTGTTACCGTTGAAACGTCCACCGCTGTTGTGACCAACAGTATAACTACGACGGCAACGGGGTTCACTGATAGCCCCCGTGAACATAAGCCTCACAAGTGAGATACCTGTTTATTGCATCAGTTCACTCGATTCAGAAACTTTAAAACTCTAACCACTTAACCGTGCCCTTTTCCAATTTCATTTTTTTCCGTGTTGGTTGTCTGACTCATGACTGTTTACTACTCTTAGCGCTCCTATTTTTCTGACCGCACTTAATGGTTGGAACGAACTCCCCTAGCTGATGACCCCCGTGGAGTTTAGTGATTCATTCCCCGTTCCGGGTATACCTGCCGGTCATCCACATATTCTGTGCCGTGGCCAAAAAGCAGCTGCGGTTCAGTTCATTCAACCATTGCTCTCTGTCCCTCATTGCCCGCATCTGTCCAGCTAAGGTCACACTATATACCGAGGTGTTTTGTGCGTACATACGCCTCTAGGTTGTCAGTACAGCGTTGCTTATCATCACATTTTTCACCTTCACTGAGTAGCCCAAAATGGGCACAATGCAAACATCATATTGATCGGTAATATCGAGAAGTTATTATTTGTTTGTAGAAATTGTTGGGG